GCCCCGGCCCCAGCGCCCCACCCGGCCCCAGCGCCCCCCGGGTCCACCAATCCCCCCCGGGTCCTAGCGCCCCCCCTGGGTCCCCTACTGCCCCAGCTCCTGGAATCCCATCCCCAGTGCCTCCCCTCGCCCTGCCCCACACCCCTTTCACCCCCCACATCCCAAGCCCCCGGGATCCCAGGCTAGTCCCTGCAGGGCCCTGATCCCCTCAGCCCAGCCCCCCGGATCCCTCCAGCCCCCCCCCACTCCCTCGGGGTCTCCCCCAGCCCCAATCCTCCCCACCTAGCCCCCCAGTGCCCCAGCCCCCCCAATTCCCTGGCCCCCCCGATCCTCCCCCCAGACCCCCCAATTCCCCAGCCCCTGCCATGGAGGCGCAGTGCGATTACTTCATGTACTTCCCGGCCGTGCCCTTCCCGGCCCGGGAGCTGCTGCGGGGGGAGCCGGGCCGGTACCGGGCCCTGCCCCGGCGCAACCACCTCTACCTGGGCGAGACCGTCCGCTTCCTGCTGGTGCTGCGGGGCCGGCCTGGGCCGGGGGGTGCCCGCACCCCCTGGGGGGAACTGGGCTCCTCCCTGGCCGCCCTGGCCAGCGTCAGCCCCGGGGGGGTTGACCCAGGGGGTGAGGGGGATGGGGAACCCCCTGAGGAGCCGGGCGGGGACGGGGATGCACCCCCTCCGCCTCCCGGCTCCTTCCGGGACTGCCGGCCCCTGCTGACCCACGGCCAGGGACCCCTGGGGCGACCAGCCGCCGGGGTGAGAGGGGGGGCGTGGGGCGCTGGGTGGGTGGGGGCTGTGTGTGAGGGAAACCTGGGGGGGGAGGGCGGTGGGTCAGGAGCAAGGGGCACTTGTGGTGGGGGGCTCTGTTATGTGGGGTGGAGCGAGGGGAGCCCGGGAATTCTGGGGCAGTAGCAAGGGGCGGGTACTGGGTGCTGCGGGTGAGGAGTGAGGATCAATGGGGTGTGTGTGGGGCAGGGGAGCTGTGGGGCGGGAGTGAGGGGCACCTGGGGGGACACAGGGGGCTGTGGGTTGGGGGTCACTGTGGGACTGATGGCTCCCTCCAATCCCCCCAGATACCTGTAGAGGAGCCGATTGTCTCCACGGACGAGGTTATTTTCCCACTGACGATTTCCCTGGACAACCTGCCCCCCGGGACCGTCAAGGCCAAGGTGAGTGAGAGGGGCCGGGGCCCTGTGGGACAAGGGCCGTGGGGGGGGACCAGTGGTGAGGATGGGGGGGCGGGAGTGGGGCCAGCCCCCCAGCGCTGACACCCCCCCCCGCAGATCGTGGTGACGGTGTGGAAGCGGGAGCAGGAAGCGCCGGAGGTACGGGAACGGGGGTACCTGAGCCTGCTGCAGAACCGGGCGCCGGCCCAGCTCTTCCGCGAGGAGCAGGGGGCCTTCAAAGCCCAAGGTAGGTGCAGCCCCCGCCCCACGGCCCTGCCCCATGGCGCCTCTCAGTCCTGACCCGCAGCCTCTGCCCCACGGCACCCCTCTGTCCTGACCCGCAGCCTCTGCCCCCAGCCCTGACTGACAGCCCCTGCCCCACGGTCACTCCCGACCCTCCACCCCGACCTTTGCCCCCAGTGACTGCTCTGACCTCTGCCCTTTGCTCCCGCAGTGAGCACCATGCTGACCGTGCTGCCCCCTCCAGGGCTGAAATGCCGCCAGCTGAACGTCTCCGGGAAATACCTCACCGTGCTCAAGGGTAACTGGGGAGCCGGGCTAGGGAGGGGTAGCAGGGCTGGAGGGGGTGCTGGAGCCGTGGGGGAAGGGATAGCAGGATGGGGGGCCAGGGGCTTTTGGGGGTGCTGGAGCCATGGGGGGAGGGGTAGCAGTGCCGGGGTGAGGGCCCTGGAGCCGTGGGGGGAGGGGCAGTGAGGGGTGCTGGAGCCCAGGGTGGAGGGGTGGCAGGATGGCAGGGGCCCTAGACCCATGTGGGGGGGGGAGGGCTGAGTGTGGGGCGCCCCATCTCTGACCCACCCGCCCGCCTCCCCAGTGCTGAACGGCTGCTCCCAGGAGGAAATCTCCCTGTGGGATGTCCGCATCCTGCCCAACTTCAATGCTAGCTACCTGCCCATGCTGCCCGATGGCTCCGTGCTGCTGGTCGACGACGTCTGGTGAGCTGTGGGGGGAAGGGTCCGGGGTAGGGGGCTCGGTGTGCGTGGGTGCCGTGGGAAGGTGCAGGGGGGTCTCTGTGGGGCAGGCTGTGGGGCTGATACTCTCTCTCCCTCCGCCTCCCCCCCAGCCATCACTCGGGCGAGGTGCCCGTCGGCGCCTTCTGCCGCGTGGCCGGTGCCGGCTCTGGCTGCCCCTGCGCCCTGAGCGCCCTAGAGGAGCAGAACTTCCTCTTCCAGCTGCAGGCCCCCGAGCGGCCCCAGGAGGACACCAAGGAGGTGGGTGCAGGGGGTGGGGGGTGGGGACAGGGCTGTGAGGGGGCAGGGCCATGAGGCAGGGAGAGGAGTTAGGGCCATGAGGGGGTGGGGCTACAGGGCAGAAGGAGGGGAAAGGGCAATGGAGGCGGGTCCAGCAGGTGGAGGGGATAGGACTGGGGGCAGGGCCATGGGGCTGTCACTCACTCCCCCCCTGCTCCCCCAGGGTCTGGAGGTCCCCCTGGTGGCTGTGGTTCAGTGGTCGACACCCAAACTCCCCTTCACCAGCAGCATCTACACCCACTACAGGTGAGAGACACCCCCCCCCAAACTCTAATGGCTCTGGGCTCCCCCCCACCCTGGGCTCCTCCCACTCCGATGCCCTCCTGGCCCTGGGCTCCCCTCCACCCTGGGCAATTACAGGCCAGTAAGCCTGACTTCAGTACCGGCAAACTGGTTGAAACTATAATAAAGAACAATATTGTCAGACACAGAGATGAACATAATTTGTTGGGGAAGAGTCAACATGGTTTTAGTAAAGGGAAATCATGCCTCACCAATCTACTAGAATTCTTTGAGGTGGTCAACAAGCATGTGGCCAAGGGGGATCCAGTGGATATAGTGTACTAAGATATTCAGAAAGCTTTTGACGAGGTCCATCACCAAAGGCTCTTAAGCAAAGTCAGCTGTCATGGGATAAGAGGTCCTCTCATGGATTGGTAACTGGTTAAAAGATAGGAAACAAAGCATAGGAATAAATGGTCAGTTTTGAGAATGGAGAGAGGTAAATCGTGGTGTCCCCCAGGGGTCTGTACTGGGCCCAGTCCTATTCAACTTATTCATAAACAATCTGGAAAAAGGGGTAAACAGTGAGGTGGCAAAATTGGCAGATGATACAAAACTATTCAAGATAGTTCAGTCCCAGGCAGACTGCGAAGAGCTACAAAAGGATCTCTCAAAACTGGGTGTCTGGGCAACAAAATGGCAGATGAAATTCAGTGTTGATAAATGAAAGTATTGCACATTGGAAAACATAATCCCAACTATAACATATAAAATGATGGGGTCTAAATTAGCTGTTACCACTCAAGAAAGATCTTGGAGTCACTGTGGAGAGTTCTCTGAAAACATCCACTCAATGTGCAGCAGCAACCAAAAAAGCGAACAGGATGTTGGGAATCATTAAGAAAGGGATAGAGAATAGGACAGAAAATATCATGTTGCCTCTCTATAAATCCATGGGATGCCCCCTATCTTGAATACTGCGTGCAGATGTGGTCGCCCCATTGGAAAAAAGATCTATTGGAATTGGAAAAGGTTCAGAAAAGGGCAACAAAAATGATGAGGGGTCTGGAACGGCTTCCGTATGAGGAAAGATTAATCAGACTGGAACTTTTCAGCTTGGAAAAGAGACAACTAAAGGGGGATAGGATAGAGGTCTATAAAATCATGACGGGTGTGGAGAAAGTAAATAAGGAAGTGTTATTTATTCCTTCTCATAACACAAGAACTAGGGGCCACCAAATGAAATTAATAGGCAGCGGGTTTAAAACAAACAAAAGGAAGTATTTCTTCACACAGTGCACAGTCAGTCTGTGGAACTCCTCGCCGGAGGATGTTGTGAAGGCCAAGACTACAATGGTTCAAAGAAGAACTAGATAAGTTCATGGAGGATAGGTCCATCAATGGCTATTAGCAGGATGGGCAGGAATGGTGTCCCTGGCCTCTGTTTGCCAGAAGCTGAGAATGGGTGACAGGGGATGGGTCACTTGATGATTCCCTGTTCTGTTCACTCCCTCGGGGGCACCTGGCATTGGCCATTGTCGGCAGACGGGATACTGGGCTAGATGGACCTTTGGTCTAACCCAGTCTGGACGTTTTTATGTTCTGTTCCCCCAGCTCTGATGCCCCCCACAAGCTCAGACCCTCCTGCCTCCAGCTCAGGGGCTCCAAGGGAGCAGTCCCCCACCCCCCATGGCCCCTCCCGGCTGCCCAGGATCCTGGTGCCCATGGCGGGGCGGGGCGGTCCCAGTGCCTGTGGGGGGGCGGTCCCAGTGCCCGTGCTGACTCTCGCTGCCCCTGCAGGCTGCCCAGCATCCGGCTGGACCGGCCGCGGTTCGTGATGACGGCTGCCTGCGAGTCGCCCGTACCCCTGCGCCGACGCTTCACCGTCACCTACACCCTGCTCAACAACCTGCAGGACTTCTTGGCCGTGCGGCTGGTCTGGACCCCGGAGAGCGCCACGGCGGGTGGGCGGGACTGCAGGGGCCTGGTGTTGTAGTGTGGGCGAGGCCACAGCTGGTGGGCCTGGGGGGTGGCGGGATGGAGCTGTGGGGACCATGAACAGGCTGGGGTGGCCTGGGGTTGGGGGTTCGGTGGCGAGCTGGGAGTGTTCGCTGGGGGTCTGGGAGCACTGGGAGGAGTCGGGTGGGGCTGGGACGGTTTGGCGGAGGACTGGGAGGGGTCGTGTGGGGCTGGGAGGGTTTGGTGGGGGGCTGGGAACACTGGGAGGGGTTGGGTGGGGGGCCGGCGATGGGCAGGGGGGCTGGCATTGTGGGGGCGTCTGCAGGAGGCTCCAGGCGGCTCTGACTCCCCCCGCCCCCAGGGAAGAAGCTGTCCAGCGAGGAGCGACGGGCCACGCAGGCAACACTGGACTCGATCGTCTGCCACACGCCCCTCAACAGCCTGGGGTACTCCCGCAAGGGCAGTGCCCTGACCATCCGTGTCGCCTTCCAGGCCCTGCGCACCGGCCTCTTCGAGGTACCCTCTAGGAGCCTGCGGGCCAGGACGCCTGGGTTCTCTCCCCGGCTCTGGGAGGGGAGTGGGGCCTGGTGGGTTAGAGCAGGGGGGGCTGGGAGTCAGGACTCCTGGGTTCTCTCCCCCGGCTCTGGGAGGGGAGTGGGGGTTGGTGGGTTTGAGCAGGGGGCACTGGGAGCCACGACTCCTGGGTTCTCTCCCCGGCTCTGGGAGGGGAGTGAGGGCTGGTGGGTTTGAGCAGGGGGGAGCCAGGACTCCTGGGTTCTCTCAGGGCGGGTGCAGGGAGGGGCAGTTCCCCTACTATTCTCTCTCCTCCCCCCAGCTCTCCCAGCACATGAAGCTGAAGCTGCAGTTCACGGCCAGTGTCTCGAACCCGCCCCCTGACGCCCGACCCATCTCGCGCAGGAGCAGCCCCGGCAGCCCGGCCGTGCGGGACCTGGTCGAGCGGCACCAGGCAGGGCTGGGCCGGTCCCAGTCCTTCTCCCACCAGCAGCCATCCCGCAGCCACCTCATGAGGTACGCAGGGGGCTGGCCAGGGGAATGCGGGAGGCTTCAGTCCCATGGGAGAGCTCCACTCAGAAGTGCTGGAGTATTTAAGGGAGGGGAGGAGCCTGGCAAGTGGGTGGAGCCTGGGGGAGGCAGGGCTCTAACATTGGGCCCCTCCCTATCATTCACCTGTCTGCACTAGGGTGGCCAATCAGGTGAGGGCATCCGTGCTCTCCCTCCTTCCCCCCCACACCCCCAGTGTGAGTCAGGACTCCTGGGTCCCTCTCCTGGTTGTGGGAGGGGAATGGATTGAAAAGGGGGTAGGGGGGGAGCTGTCCGAGTGGGAGGGTGGAATCGGAGCCACACCCCACACACTGACGCCTGGTGCCCCTCCCCCCCGACAGGTCAGGCAGCGTCATGGAGCGCCGCGCCATCACCCCACCTGTGGGCTCCCCTGTGGGCCGCCCCCTCTACCTGCCCCCCGAGAAGAGCGTCCTGTCGCTGGACAAGATCGCCAAGCGGGAGTGCAAGGTGCTGGTGGTGGAGCCCATCAAGTGAAGAGGTCAACCACCCCCCCCCCCCGATCCTGGGCCATGGGACAAGCCCCCCCATCGCCCAGCCCGGCTGCTGCTGCTGCTTCTCTCCGGAGCTCATGTTGCTGGAGGCCTGGGACCATGGGGCATGGGGGGAGGCTGGCATGTGCCAAGGGGGAGGGAGGGAACCCCAGACTCAGGGGCACAGTGTGTGGGGGGCTGCAGGCCAGTATGGGGAGGGGTGTGAGAACTGCATTCTGGGTCAGTGCTGGGGGGATGGGAGGGGGGAGCTGGGGCTGCTGGGGGGGGGGGTTGGTTGCCATTTTCAGGGTGATCCTGCTGCTGTTTCCCTGCTGTTGGTTAAGGGGGTGCCGGGGGGGGACCCCTGGCTATGGGTGGGGGGTGGGTGAACAAGTCTCATTACTGGTTCCCAGTCGCTGTTTACAAAACCGTTTGCTTCCTGCATTGCCTTTTTAGTTTGGAGGCCCCGCAAACTCTCCCTGAGCTGGGGGGCAGGGACCCATGGTACTGCTTGGTTCTTGCTAGGCTGGAGTGAACGCCTTCCTTCCCATCAGCCCCTGGGGCAGCATCCCCCTCAGAGCCAGGCTCCCATCAGCCCCTGGGGCCGTGCCCATCACCCAACCAGCTTCCCCTCAGCCCCTGGGGCCGTACCCACCACCCAACCAGCTTCCCCTCAGCCCCTGGGGCCGTGCCCACCACCCAACCAGACTCCCATCAGCACCTGGGGCAGCGTCCCCCTCAGAGCCAGGCTCCCATCAGCCCTGGGGCAGCATCCCCCTCAGAGCCAGGCTCCCATCAACCCCTGGGGCAGCATCCCCCTCAGAGCCAGGCTCCCATCAGCCCCTGGGGACATGCCCATCACCCAACCAGACTCCCATCAGCCCCTGGGGCAGCCCTCTCCCCCCCGCTCTCTAGCTGAGCTTTGCCAGCCCCTGTCCCGGCCGAGGAAAGGAAGGCGCCTGGCCCAGCCCTGAGCCACCCCATGGAAGGTCCCAGCCCCACATGCCTCGCTGGAGATGCATTCCCCGTCCCCTGCTGCGGTGGGGGGGGGGGGCAACCCAGGCTAGGCCCCCCCCACTCCAGGGACTCACCGGACCAGGGGCCCCCACTGCACTTTATTTACATTTTTTTTGTTATTTATTTGTCTCTGAACTGGCCACAATTTGGATCTGTGAATAAACCTCATGGGATGGAACCAGCTTGGCTTTGCCGTGTGTCAGGGGAGTACAACACCAGCCACTGCGCCGACCCCCCAACAGAGATCAGGAGAGCGCCAGGCGCTGCACCCCTAGCAGCGGCAGGGGGCCAGGCCCCCTGGGGCCACAGCCAGCCAAGGGCCAAACCAGAGCAGTGGCTGAGTGGCAGCTGCGGGCTCGGGGCCTGCCCTGGCTCCTAGCCCCAGATAGCACCACAGACACGTAGAGTTAGGGAGAGACTGGGGAGTCAGCTGGGACCGGTGCTGCCGGAGCCTGAGCCGCTCGCTCTGAGAGCAGGGAGCTGGCCCCTGTGGGAACGGCGCTGCCGGAGCCAGTCGCTCCGAGAGCAGGGAGCCGGTCCCCGTAGGAACGGCGCTGCCGGCGCCAGTCGCTCCGAGAGCAGGGAGCCGGCCCCCATAGGAATGGCGCTGCCGGCGCCAGTCGCTCCGAGAGCAGGGAGCCAGCCCCCATAGGAACGGCGCTGCCGGCGCCAGTCGGGAGCCTGAGCCAGTCGCTCCGAG